TTAGAATGTTCCCAACCGTTCGATAGACTTGGGGTAGTTTATCCTACCAAGGCTGACACTAATGTGCTGCCAAGAAGGTTAGGGTAGTTTGTCTCAGCTGCCGGGGTTGGACCCGAAGCACATGTAGTGTGTGTTTGTTCAAAACACTAAACCCGGATTAATCTTCAGTTATGCCCTGAACCTTGGAGATTGGTGGGCAAAACTGAAAAGTTACACATAACCCTAAACTCAATTATGATACTGCACTAGGTATTGGATTGGAATGTCTTTGATATGCCAATCAGTGAGATCCTTTGGGGGTTAAAACCTAGGTATATTGGGGCGGTATGAGAATTTACTCGAGTGGGTGATCATAGTGACAGGATCAGCCCCTTTTTCGGACAAAGTGAATGATCGGAACTGCACTCTCTTTGATGGAAAACAAAATTGCCGATAGTCGATTTCAACCGTGTTTGAAATTTGTTTTGCAAAATATACTTATATGATATATATGTATATATATATATATATATATATATTATATTTTAAGGAAAAATATTTGCAAAAGGTTTTAATTCCCATGACCCATCCGAGCAAAGAGTGCAACACTACACCTTGCAGCTAGGAGAGAGGTCCTTAATTGTCGGGTAGTGTTTGATCATTATGGGCTGAGAGGTTAAGTGTAAGAGACCATTTATGACTGTTTTACCTGATGAGCTATATCTCACTTAAGTCCATTGTCCTTGGGCCTTCATAGGATGGCTGGACTCAATGATCATTTAATGTAAATGTTGGGCCCATTAAGAGCCCATACTGATTAACTCGGGGGTTTACTGTACTTGATAGTGAATTTGGCTAGGCCTTTTCATAGAGGCTGGGCTGAACCCATGTGGGCTTATGTGAGGTCACTGTTGGGGTCCAATGCCATACAAAGAGAGTCAAATGGGCCAGCAACTTTTTAGGGTCGTGAGCCACATGTTTAATGAGCCTAAAGCCCATGATTAATTAGATTAATCAAGTGGTTACATGACAGATTAAGCAGTCATATGACATGGGCGAATGTGGGTATGGATATGGGTTTGGATCAGCAATTAGGGTAAGAGGATAAGTCTTATCCACTTAAAGAGTCCAGGTCCAAATAAAGATTTGGATTAGGACCCTCCTAATTGGATTAGGAGTGCTGATTCTTAAGGCTTATAAAAAGAGGAGGGCGAACTGCTCCAGTTATCACATTTGCTCTCAGTTCTCTCCTTCTGCTCTTGCCGCCCAAAACCCTAGTTCAACTTCTAGTTCTTGAACTGATAAAGATCAGTTATGATTTCTGATTTTTGCAAGAAAACATCAGATCCAATTCGTGCTCACCTCCCTTGCTCGACCCAAGCTATTGGATTACAGTTCTTGCTAAAGGACAGTGTTGTTGAACCGACTTCAATTCAAGATACGCCATCTTTAGTGGAAGTTGGTTTTGGTACCCTCTTTGGGCATGAACTACCACTTTGGGAACTACACGTGTGGATTCTGTATCAGGTATTCTTCTCCCTTCCTTTTGGTTTTAGATCTGGTCTGATTCGGTGTAAGAACAATCATTGAAAAATGCAGTTTTTCTAAAACTGAGAATACGATTCTCGGAAGAGTAAAAAGAAATTTTTGAAATTTCGCCCAACCATCTAGCATGGTCCGGCCATCCATATGATGGATTTTCCCTTCCTTCATTCCCCTGCTCAAAATCCAAAAAGAGAACGGGCCCTTAGAGTCAATATTTAGATTTAAGCACTTTTGAAATGCATGGGCATTTAGTATACTACTAAAAGTAATAAGAATTTTACATGCATTTAGTGCATCTCTCACATAGCCATAACCCAACCCATCTCATATATTTTGGAAAAGGGATTATAATTATTTAAATATTGGGTATATTATAGGGATCTCATATTCTTCTTCTTTAGTAGAAATCTTTAGCTTTAATATTTTTCGTTTTAGAATTTTCTCCTCTTAGCCAGTTAGCTTCCTTTTAAACAATGTTCCACTGAATCATCATATCTTAGGATTTCATTTGAACTCCTAGATCTAACATTTACATCATTCTAAAAAGGTCTTATAGTGATTCTAATTTTGATTTTAACTTCGAATTTTCATCTTAAGCTTTTTTTTTTATTTTTTTTTTACTGTGACTGCATTTCAGTTTGAGATTTAAATTTTGCATCATGATGCTTAGAGAATAATTTTAGGGTTATTTTTCTTCCTGTTTTACTTGGCATTTTTTCTCCTGTTTTCTATTTTGGCATAATCACCTCTTTTCTGGATCTCCTTTTAATTAGAGAATCCGTAGATAATTTTGTATTTTCAATTTGATTTCCACACCATCTTTATCTTAAGATAGTTACTGGCGGAGGGGTCCCTGCTAACTCCACTATTTCAATTGACCTAAACAAAAATATAAAATTGTGATCTTTATAATTTTAATGAATTTATACAAAAAGATTTTATTTGGGACTTCATTAATTGAGATACAAACTCATGAATGGGAGATTAACCATCCAAGTTATAAAACTGATCATGATTGACCACTCTGTTCCACCACGAGGAAGAAGCAATTTCAGACGTAGAAGCATTTTTTTTCCTTTGTTTTTTTAATGGTTTTAAAGCGTTGAAGCATTGCCAACAGCTTGGCTGTTAGGAAGTATCTCATTAGGCTTCGCCTTTTGAGTCTCAATCTTTACATCTTCCATTCAAACCATACAGCGTATAAGCCTCCTTGCACCTCCAATCCGCTTTTAGGTCGTGTATTATTAGGAGACCAGCTATTGACTGAAGCCTAACCATGGTTAATTTAGTTAATAGCAGAAGTTTATATTTATTGAGAATTATTAGAAAGACATTTTAACTAAAATTTGAAGTTCAGGATTTTCTAGGCATTCTACTTAGCTTACTTAACCTCGACCTACATCATTCTCTCCTTTTCTTTTATATATATATATTATTCAAATGCAATTCAAAATTAATATCAATTCAATCAACCATTTCAGCAATCTTATAGAGATTCATACAGGATATGATTTAAAGGAATTGGTAAACAAAAACTAAGCAATTTAGTACCCTTAGCACATATCTTGTAGGTGACAATGATAATACTATTAACAAATAACAATAAATAGAATCTATTAGGGAAAAATATCCAGAAAGTTAAACCCACAATAAATAACATATTAGATGAATAAGATCAATAAATTTAAACCATTTACAAATTCACATCCACATCACATAAATAATATGTAGTATGAAATACAGATAGTTATCCATCTTGATGCCTGGTTAGAAATGAGATTCGCAAATATTTGAAGGACACAAGGCAGAATGAACTGGAATAAGAGATGGAGCCTCAATATTGAATCTTTGAGTGAGAATGTTATATATGTAGCTGAATCAATTGGTAAGAGATGGAGCCTCAATATTGGATCTTTGGTCCTAGGATTACCTGGGGAAAAATGATTAGATCAGATCAGATCAGCCTGTGGATGCTTGCTTAGCAAACTGAATTGTGGTTAGAAACCCTCCATSGATTCTACACGTTTATGAATCTGGTGGCCAACAACATAGTAGAGGTAATTTGAAGCCAACTGGCCATCAATGGACAAAGTAAGGTATACATATCCTTAGGCAGCATTCTAGTTTCTTAGATCTTTAGCATAAACTATTCTTATTATACTTTTCTTGATTACATTTTTCCATCATATAAATTTTTTAGGGTTGAATTTTGTGCTTGTTACATAACAATTTATTTATTTTTTAATTTAAGTAATTTGTTTTTTAATTTCTTTATTATATAGTTTGCATTTTAGACTCTCTATACTTATTGTTTTCTCCCCTCTCTCTCTATATGCACTTTTAAAAGCATATTCGCGCTCTAAAAAGAATGTTTGCAGCTAAATAAGCTGTATGATTGGGTTTGGTTTATATGGCATAAATCCGGCTCATCTGGTCTGATCCACGTGTAATTCTCAAAAATACTTATTAAGGTTCAGAATTAATTAAAGCTATGTTTGGTTTGAAGGAAAATGCAGGGAAAAGAAAGGAAAGGTAGGGAAACCTTTACAAACCTTGTATAGGTTCCCCTATCTTTCCCTTCCGTTCCCTACCTTTTCCTTCAAACCAAACATAGCCTAAGGCTCCGTTTGGTTTAAGAGAAAGTTTGGGTGGGATGGAAAAGGATGGGATGGGATGGGATGAGAAAGTGTGAAAATTTTACTTTCCACCTTTTGGTTGTACAAGGGATAATAGTGGAAAAATTCATTTTCTCATGTTTGTTTTTTGAGAAAATTCATTTTCCCATGTTTCTTTCCCTCTCATATTATGAATTAATGAAGTGAATTAAGGGCCAAACAGCCAAACTAGTTGATGTAATCCAACTTATATATATTTTTAGAATCATATTTTAACGATRTTGATTGTAACCATCACATTTGATACAGACCAATGATGGGCCCACGTCATTTGAATTTCATATGGCAAGTTATGGCCCCATGCAACAACAGCTAGTAGTCCTGTTTTGCAACCAATCGACCTGTGACTATAATTGTGTTACTATTCTTGGACAATATAGCTAAGTTGAATTCCTAATGATAGACGTTCATTAATCAGTAAAACTTAAGGCTTGTGTTATATGTGCATCAAAAGATTCTGCAAGTATTGGAATGATAGCTTAATGGCATAAGAGTGAACACGAAAACATTGGGATTAGAGTTTTGTAATTTTACTAGTAAACAAAATTTAGACTCATTCAAACATTTATATTTTGTCTGGACTCCCCACTTAAATCATTTTGATCTATTTAGTTTTGTGCTTTCCACCATAGTAAGATGCAAAAGCATATCTAAGATGTTGGGTCTTTTCTTTGCATATTGCCAAAGACCACAGTAATTATGATTTCTTTGCATATCAAACTCGCTACACATTTGATACAAATAAATTAAAAATAAAGACCAAGAGATCCTAACCAAGGGTCCAAGTTTTGAGGCATCAAATCTATGAAAAGTCCATGCTTCAATTAATTTTATAATTAGGCTAGTTCCTCCTCTTAAACTAAAACAATCAAAAAATTCAAAAGCAGAATTAGATGCCATTAAACTTGTAAATTTCAAAGATATCAAAGCCTAAATGTTGTTTCTCCATCATCCAACTTCAAAATATCTGAATGATGATCTGGATGATAGGAATTACATAATCTTGACATTGTGGACTCTCTCTTGCAGAGGTTAGCCGGAATGATGGTACTGCTGAAGGAAAATTTTGCAGCATTAAGAAATACACGGATGATGTACTGTTGTGAACTCAATCTAGTTTTAGCATTCTTTCAAGGAAAAATAGCATTAAAGGCTGCAGTTAAAACAACTTCCAGATTGGACCTGACAAGTATATATTAATAGCATCATCACACTAATAACATAGAATGGTGATTAGACAATATAAATAAATATATATATATATATATATATATGCAGGCCTAGAGAAAAACATGATTGTTGCTTCCCTTTTCTCAGCCCTAGCATTGCATCACATATGTTTACTACATCACCCTATTTTCAGCTTAGGCGCCTCTACATTATAGCATCTTCTCATATTGTCCCTTCCCTTTTCTTTTGAATGAAAGTTATTATCAATTCCTCCATGTGGCAGTGAAATGTGGTTCTATGGCTGCAGAATTCTTTCATCAGATATATTTATAACTAAAATGGTTCTCTTGGATCTTATTTATTGTCATTTAGAGTATTTTAATTGTCAGGGATTTGTGTGAAGTCTGATTCAAATGTTATTTTGTCTAGTTTTAGGGAGAGATTTGTATGATGCAATATCAATAATGCTTTTTCTCAAAAAAAAAAAAAAGTAATGCTTATGCAATGTTTTAAAAGGCAGAGGAGTAAGGCGAGATGCTAGAACCTTCCAGAGCATGGGTTGTAAGCTTTATAATAACAAATATATAACCATGTGCATAGGACACTTTATATAAGAGTGCATATGAAAATCATAATGTAATCAATTACTAAAAGCTTAAGGAAATAAAGAAAAAAAAAAACAATGTGCTTTAGGCTTTGGGAGGCTGATTGTTTAAGGAGACTCCTAGGTTCTGTCTTGTGGGAATAGGGGTCTCAAATCTGAATCGAAATGGYCCATTCCGATTCCAACTGTTTGGGCAGAATTGAAATCACATTCCCATTCCTGGTGGAATGGCATTCCCCCATTTGAAGAAATGGCCATTCACTCCCCCTCCCTTGGGAATGAGATCTCATTCTAACTTATTCCAATTCTAATTCTAATTCCCGTCTGAACTAAATGGACCCTTAGCTTAAAGTGTTATGAGATGTAGATTGGGCTTGGGGGCGGGGGCTATGGATTAGGCCATTGGATGCAAGACTCAGTTTCCAGTTTGTTGTTTGGGGTCTCATGGCAAGCTGTTTTGTGCTAGTGGACTTCAAGCTACTTGCACTTTTCTGCTCTAACTATTTTCTTAATGTTTTTTTCTTTTTAGATCTTGTTAAAAATCCAAGAAAAAAAACTACATGCTTGGATATCCTTAAAAACTATATTAAAGTTGTTATTGTAAATTAAAACCACAATTAGTGGTTAAAATCCTTGTAGAGTTAAAAGAATCAACTCGCATGAAAACTTGGTATTGATCTTTAAATCAGTATTGTGATGAGAACCTCTGCCTCAATTCATATATGAAACACATTGCATAAGCCACCTCAGGATGTGAGGTATGTGGCTTACCATGCATGGGGTGTTCCCCCCAAGCCTTGCCCCAAGGAGTAAACTTCACACACCTTTTAAAATATTGATTTGCCATACGGCATAATTGAAGACATGATGTTAATGCACCTGTATATGCTTTTCTATATTACAACATTTGTCAAGATTAGGAAAGATAATCTGTTACCAATGGAAGTGTTGGTGTGTTTTTTGTTTAACAGGAAAAAAGTGGGGTTCCTCTTGTAGCACAAGAGAAGTTTTAGGAACCTAAAGAAGTGGAGATTCTCTCTTTTCCTCTTCTAACCCCAAAAAAATCTACCCATTTGGTTTCCTCTTCTAACCATTGATAAATCTACAGTAAATCAAGGAATGAAGTCAGCACTTCAGAAGAACCAATTGGTTCCCTCTTTTGATCATGGTAGAGAAGGGTTCCGAAATCAAACCAAAAGAATAGGCAGTCTTGTTGGAAGTCACAATGGAAAAAAAAATGCACACCATTGTAAATCGATCAAACCAGTAGTGATTTGATGATCGAATAACAAAAAAAAAAAATCTCAGAGAAAACCCCTGTACCTAACAAATAGCATCACTTCAAAATAACAAGAAAACAAAAAAAAAAAAAACCCTTCGTCACAGCATTGTAACGTGAATCTCAGAGAAAACCCCTATACTTGTACATGTCCTGAAGAAGATGAAATGGAGCTTCTCCTTCGCTCGCTAAAACAGACTGTCCTACCAAATCTCCTAACAAATCTCGCCTAAACAAGGAGAATGGAGCTTCTCCTTGCCGAAAATAGTGAAAAAGATGAAATGGGATCAGTCATTGCAGAGACTGACGCAACTATGGTAAAAACATTCTTATCCACCAGAATATACAAGAAAATATAGGAAATGGCTCGCCAAAGCAAGAGGAGTGTAGATTTGGTTTTACCTTTGCTTGATATCACCAAAGAAATCGCCAGAGATACAACCGTTGGAATGCTTGGCTGAAGGAAGAAGGAGAATCTTGAGTTCAGGCCTGAGAAAGCCCGATAACTTTTCTCAGTCGCGTCTCACAATTTTCCTTTCTCACTGGGATCGCACCATTTTGGTGGGATCCGATTTACTTATTGTTGGGATGTTGCTTCTCATTCTTTTTTCATCCCATACCACTATATCCCAACAATCAAACATGAGAAAAAGGCATCATTTAGGGATATTCCTCTTTTCCCATCCTTTTCCCTCAAACCAAACGAAGCCTAAATGAAAATTTACAGGGACGTGTGTTTTGTCACAATTATTTTTAAAGATAAAGCATTAAATTTTTGAAAAATATTTGAACTTAGCACTTACAAGGCAGATGGCATGAGAAGTAACAATTTATTTTAGAAAAAATAAAAAAGGACAAAATAGAATGTTAACCAAATGATTGGTTTTGGGTCTGGATAATGTTAAAACCCGACCCATGACTACCTTCTTAACCTGTACACCTGCTACAGTGTTCATTTGATGTATTGAGCATAACAGGCGATTTTGGGGGCATTTGGCAAATCTTTTAGTGTGATTTGTTTTTAAAGTTTGGAAGAGCAAAGTTTGGTCTTTTCCATTTGGCAATGAAAGATAGAAAACCAGAAAGATTAATGCTCTAAAAAGCTCATGAAAACCCAAAATGGGTCTTTGGACACCTAAAATCTTTCATTCAACAGCTTTGTATAAACATTGTAGATTAGGATACTAATCAAACTGTGTAGATGTTTAAAGACAATACTCTAAAAGATTATTACATCTTTTTAACTATCTAGGCTGTTGAAAGATCTTACTAAAAAGACTTATCTAACAGAATGGATCCACGGATCGAGGAGACGTCATCCATCAAAATCCTATTGAATATATGCCATTTCTGATTTGGAGTTCATAGTCGATTGTCCCTCTTTTTCTAACTTAAGGGTCGAATACAACAGGTGATTTTGGAATGGTAAGAGACTACATGCCAATTTTTTATTTAATCAGGGGAACCCAAGTGTCTCAATTATTGTTTTCGTTTGTAGAAGCACATGGTACACGTGACAAATATAACTAGGAAAGCAAGCAAGATAATGTTGAAGGTGATAAAGATAACATATGAATGTTAAGCTGTAATTTGAACTTTTCTGTAACAACAGTCTTTATATATTATATAATAGTAGTTTTCTACTGATTCACATATATCTGTTGTAACTTTGAACTAGATATATTAACATCACAATCTCTCCTGACATCATTGAGAGAGAAACCGTTCTTCAACACCTCCAGCCTTTCATTTCATGGTATTAGAGCCCTACCAGTCCACCATGGCCCAATATCTGCAACCCCTGAATCCCGTGACCAACCACTAGCTAGTTTCACCCACTACACTCTTCCTGCAATTACTATCCCGCCGTCCATACCCAATGACTCCAAGGTCTCAATAATGGTGGTCTCTACGGCTTGCCCTTAGGGGTGGATTTGAGTTGAGCTGAGCCGAATATTATCAGGTTTGAGTTCGACTCGAGATTGATTTTGAGAAAAAATATTTTATAAAAATAAAAATTATATATATAAAAAAATTATTTTATATTTAAAAAATTAAGAATTATAATAATTAATAATATATATATATATATATATATATATTCGAGCCAGCTAGCAAGCCTCATGAGTTAGTAGGCTTGAGCTCGGCTCGTTTAATAATTGAGTCATTGAATTGGGCTTGAGTTCGAACTCGGTTGAAACCGAACCAAGTTGAGCTTTTCATAAGCTGAACTTGATAAGCTCATGAAAAGCTCGTCTCATTGCCACCCCAACTTGCACCTATTGGCTCGTGTCTCAAATGGTACCCAAGTCTCTCCAATATCTTCTAGTATGATGTTTGCAGCTTTCATTGGTGAATCTATTGTTACATGCCCCTATGCCCTATGCCATTGGAGTTATGGGATCAGTCACCAATGGAAGTTTTATTCGAGAAACCCCCAACTATACATTCTTTGTTACATTTGGCTGTGTGTGTGTGTTACACTGTCACCCATACCTCCGACTTTACAACCAGCACAAATTGGAACTACGCTCAAAATGTTTTGTGTTCCTCGGGCTCACCAGTTTGGAAGGAATACAAATACAGATATATATAGTATAAATACATACAAAATATAAGGTTTTACACTCTACAAATTTATATTTATATTTATACTTGTACTCCTTCCAAACTGAGCCTTGGTTACAACGGCATGCATCACAGTTACAAGTGCTTACATCGCTCGTCGGGACATATCTTTATCTCTTGGCATGTAATCTTTTGATGAAGAGAGCTTCCCTTTTTCAAAACCGTTTCAATTATCCATAACTGCATGTTCTCCTGGTACGGTTACAACTTACAAGTAGGAATGGCAACGGGGTGGGTTTGGGGATTATATTCCCCGTCTCCAATCCTGATTATGAAATTAACCTCTATTCCCGTCTCCGATTCTCGCCGAAGATGAAATTTGTCCTCCATCCTTGATCTCCGACAGGGATGGGTTCCCTGTAGGGAGTCGAATCCCCGATTTTTTTTAAATAAATTTACTTAAAATAAATAAAACATTTAAATATATAAATATTTTTTAAATATGTTTTGATATATATATATATATATATATATATATATATATATATATATCAAAACATTTATATATAATCGGTGTCAGGGCGGGGTGGGGACCTCAATTCCCATCCCCAACCCCGACCTCGATTGGGAATTCCTATTAATTCCCGTCCTTGTCTCCGCCCCACCAAAACAATCCTCATCCTCAACCCAATCGAGAATTCCTATTAACTGGGGCTCCTCCTACTAGGCCCCAACCATAGTCCTAGTCGATACATCCTATGGTTGCTCATTCTAGAGATAGTACCTAAAAGCCCAAGGTTCTCTCCACTAGACATCCATTGCCAATTACTCTCACTACTTGTGCACAACATATCCCACTTGAGCCCAAAACCTTTGCACGGGCATTAAACACTCTGAATGGAGACATGCAATGCTACAAGAGTTCAATTTACTTATGAAAAATGGGACATGGTCGCTAGTACCCCCTCCTTCACATGGTAATATTGTTGATTGCAAATGGATTTTTAAAGTCAAATTATGGGCTGATGGGTCACTTGAGTGTTACAAAGCCCAACTAGTGGCCCGAGGCTTCACAACTATATGGGCTTGATTATATTGACACTTTTCAGCCCCGTTGTTAAGATGACAATAGTGTGAGTGGTTCTCTCTTTAGCCATCTCCAAGAACTGGCCCATATGTCAAGTGGATGTTAATAATGCTTTATTTTTCATGTATAGATCATAGAGGAAGTCTATATGTCCAACCCCCGGGACGTTAATGACGGGTAGTGACTCTTCAATGTTCAACAAGTTGCTTCATGATTTTAACTGCAAATTTGGGATTAAGGATCTTGGCTCCCTTAATTTTTTTACCGTCTCCCACCCAATACCCCATTGTTTGCTCTCATTGGTGAGCCCCTTTCTGACCCTTCTGAATATAGAAGCATGGTCGGCTCCCTCTAATATGCAACACTCACCAAACCTAATATTTTGTTTGTCATTAATAAACTCAATCAATATCTCCATGCTCCCACTACTCTACATTGACAAGCTGCTAAGTGTGTGTTATGCTATTTGAAAGGCACAATGGACCATGGCCTTGTTTTTACCTATTCTCATTATTTTTCTCTTATTACCTTCTCTGATGCTAATTAGGTTGGCTACCCAGACGACAGAAGGTCTACCAGTGGATATGTAGTTTATATGGGCCCAAATCTAATCAGCTGGAGTGCTTGCAAACCTACTGTAGCACGTTCTAGCGTAGAGTTGGAATTTTGTGCACTTACAAATGTTGCCACTGAACTCTTTTGGATTGGGAAGTTACTTACTAAAATGGGTGTTCAAATTTCCACTCCTCTTGTGGTCTGGTGTGACAACATTGGCGCCATGTACCTTGCCGCCAACTCAGTATTCAAGGCCTGGACTAATCATGTCAAAGTCAACTATCACTTATAAAACTCTTGATGTTCAGTACGTTACCACCTCTAATCAGGTTGCCGACATTTTCTCTAAGGGGGAGTTCTTTTTTCAGATTTTGAGAGCGGGAAAGCTGGTCAATGGGATTGGCCAAGAATCCCATGTTCTTTTTTCAGACTTATGTGGGGACCAGCAGGGAAAGTTTATTTTCCTGGGTATCACTTACCCATCTCCTAGGTGGGTAAATAACTTTCCCACCTAGGGGGAAGTTGCCAACACTTGAATGGGACAAAATGTCCGTTTTAATAATTGATTTTTATGGATAAAATGGGCATTGCCTTATTTACATGAGAAATAAAAGATCATGGTACATGCGACAAAGATAACTACAAACGCAAGCAAAATAATGTTGAATGTGAGAAAGATAAGAATGTTAAGCAGTAGAAATTTAATGTAATTTGAACTTTTATGTAACAATATTAATTTATTTAACAGCAGTTCTTTAATGCTTCACATATCTATTGTAACCTTCAACTATATATATGAACATTCCAATCTCTCTTGGCATCATTGAGAGAGAAAGCCTTCTTCAACACCTCGAGCCTTTCATTTCATTATTGCTTCTTTATCAACTCGTTTGATGATAGGCAAAGTATATAAAAAACTTGCACTCGATACTTTTTGAGGACAGGCAAAGTATGCTTTATGTAAATTTGGTTTAGATTGCAAAGTGTGTTATCAAACACGAACCTTTAGGCTACGTTTGGTTTGAAGGAAAATGTAGGAAAAGGAAGGGAAAGATGGGRAAACCTATAAAAGGTTTGTAAAGATTTCCCTACCTTTTCTTTCCTTTTCATGCATTTTCTTTCAAACCAAGCATAACCTTAGGAATGATGACTTCAATTGGTTTTCAAAAACACATATCTTTGTTTCACTTGAGCTTAGGTTTTGATGAGAGATTGATAGGTCTGATTACGATATTGCTGGAAAAAAAAGCACTATTAGGTGATTATCATGTTTATTATTTTTTCTGATAGAAATTATCATGCTTTTTCTATTACATGAAAAGTGAAAAAAAAAAAGATATATATTACAACTTCACCTAAGAATGATACGATTGTAATGAGAATGAAGA